TTAAAAAAAAAAAAAAAAAAAAAAAATTCCAGGAGGTCTCTATCTACCCATGTCAATTGAACTACAGGGGGTCTATCTGCAAATTTTATGTTGTGGAACACTTTGCTTTGTAAAGTTTAGTCTCAATTGTATGAACATACTCATGCTGTCCCAAACTGTAGGTTCTGTGCTTACTTTTGGCCTTTGCTGAACAATCTTTTGGCCCTTGCATTAGTGGGATGCATGTTTGCCTGGCCTTTTGCTGTGCAGTTGATTTTCTGAGCTCTCTGCATTTTCTAATACAAACAGGATAAGTATTGGTGGACTCCTTATCTTTCCCCTCTACCATCTTATCTTTTCAAAAGTAGGGTTCTTCTGTTAGTTTATAGGGAGTGTTATATAAGGAGTTTTATATGAATTTGATAGCTGAGGGAGTGATTTTTGCATTTGATTCTTATTTTAGGTTCAACAGATTTGAGTACTTACTTTCAATTTCTTATTTATTGTGTGTTCTGTTCCTCTGGAGCTTCTTTCATTATGTTGAGAAAGAAAAACCTTCTTTCATTATTCTCATGTCCTTTGTTTTCACAACCCACTACTCTGATGATTAATTTACATCTTATATTTTCCTAGTTATCTAATTTTTACTAGGGAGAGTAAAAAAAGGCTGTCCATCTTCGTGAGACCTACTCCATCTTTGTCCAAAACTTGCCTCTGAAGGAAGTGATATCATAAAGGTTTCTAACTGTTTGAATATGGTTTTGGGAAGAAAAACTCAATATTGTGAGACACATTTCAGATGTTAACTTTCTAGGTCTTAAATTGTCATGGTCATCTATATTGAATTTATTAAATTTTTTTAATACCTCCCAAACTGCTGCTGTGCTATTCAGACTCTACACCCCTTTTCTAAGTATATAATAGAAAGCAGCTATTTTAGCTTGAATTTTCTCATTGTTTTAGTGATGTATATGGAGACTTTGAAATGTATATTAGGTGGGCTTCCAGACTGCCTCCACCAGAAATGGATATCCGTCCCATTTAGTTTCTTCAGGAATGGGTATGGGCAGCTTTACTTCATTGTCCCTAAATCTTTAAAAGCTTGCACAACTCATAAACCGCCTGCAAGCTTTCCTCCCATTTTGTATTTTCCAATTTCAAACCTATAAAAAAAGTTCTATTATGCTTTAGGAAACCATATACTAAAAATCTACACTTATTTGCATTTAAGGATTAATTGAAAAAAAAGTAAAATTTGCAAGTTACATGAAGGAAAAAAAATCCCAAATACTTAGCCAAAGAAATCAAGAGACAAGATGCAAAAAATAATTGCGAGCACACTTCATCGATACTCTAAAATCCTCAAACAAAAATAATTAGAAAAAAAATCATCAGATTATCAGGTATACAAAGCACAAAAGAGAGTGAGATAGAGTACCTCACTTGTCTTGAGAATAAATTCTTCTCAATTACACCAATTAAGAGCAAAGAGAATCCCTAATTAAACAAGAAAGTAAAATTTGTTGAAGAACAGTGAAGAGAGCATCTGGGAATTGGTGGGTATAATAAATCTATAGTGTGAAAATCGATAAGGTAAGGAAAATTTACCTCCCACTTGCACCTAGGGGTCATTGCCGTACAGGAGCTTAGAGAGTTATAGGGACTATAAGGTACATGCCCACCTTTAGGGAAACCAGGCGTGACAGATGGAAAATTGCAGTGGTGAGTGTGAATAGGCAGTCACTTATTATAGTGACTGCCGCTAGGAGCCCTCATATACTAATGCTTAATAGAGGTTCTCGTATACTAATGCCATTCAAAACCAAGACTCATCAGGTCTTCATCTGCATTTGGTAACTAACCTTCTTTAGAAATTTTCTTATGACATCTATTATTTCATGTCATTGTAAAAGCATACTTCAATACTGCATCTTTTCTGTAAAGCTCTTATTCATACTAGCTAGTTGAATATGAGTCATGGTTCCCTGTCTGATAGGTTGAAAGGAATGCGTTGAGAGATGATAATTGCCTCCTAGAGGTCTAGACGTGGGGTTGTTTGCAGAATAATTGCTCCCTTGAAAACTAAAATAGATCCAAGGAACAATCTTGCTTATTGTTTTATTGTGAAATCTTCTGCATCAAGTACTCCATTCGAGGGAACTAGCTGGCTTATGTTTCTAACGTTTTCCCTTTAGGTGGTGGTCTACTTCACAGCTACTTGGTGCGGACCGTGCCGCATGATGGGCCCAATTTACGCCGAACTGGCTAAGAAGTACGCTGGGGTTGTTTTCCTCAAGGTTGATGTTGATGAGCTCGAGGTAAATAAACCTTATAATCGCAACCTAGCATGCAACATAAGTGCATTTGATAATGTTTTTGTTTCCTGATCGGGTTTTGTTTGATGGCGCAGGGTGTCGCTAAGGAGTGGGAGGTAGAAGCCATGCCTACCTTTGTGTATTTGAAGGAAGGTAATGTTCTGGACAAGCTTGTTGGTGCTAACAAGGATGCTCTGCCCGCCAAGATTGAAATGCACAAGTGATGCGTGCTTGCTATATATTAGGATCTTGGACGCCCTGTGCGTGTATGCTTTGCTAGTAAGTGATGTAGTAAGTAAAATCATGTATGCTCTCTAGGGATTCAATTGTTGAATAGTGGTACAATGTGTGGTTGATGAATTTGAACTTATAGAGAATTGCTATTACATACTTGCTTAGCGTAATTGTATTGGTGAAACCTTGGTCTGAAATCTATGGAATAATTGTGCGAAATGATCTGTTGTGAGTTGGCTTAAACATTTGTCGTGGTACCTTTGCCCGTGTCATGGTTACAGTATATATCAAGAAGGCGCGTTAGAGCTGCGAATGATAATGGCGCGTATCAAAATTTCATCTAAAGGGTTAGCGAGCAAGCAAATGTATATGTTCCTCGATGCCTGAATTATATCCGGATAAATGATATCCGTTGAACGCGAATGGGGCTTGTTTACATGGTATCCGGATAAATGATATCCGTTGAATGTGAATGAGGCTTGTTTACGTATGCATCATCCGTACTGCCTAGGTGGTGGTATTCATCATCCCTGTTCTATTTTGTTTCCAACAATTTGTGTTGGACAAATTTATCACAAGCAGTGACTCTTTGGGAGGTGGATATATTTGGCATGTGAGAACCAAGTCAAGTGAGACTGAAATGAAATAAGAATATAAATATTGGAGGGGAATGCTTGTTCTTGTTCTTATGTTCCTGTAAGGTTAATCAGATCATTAACGGGGCAAATAATTTAACAAAAATAAAACAACACATTTCTTGCCTGCTCACCGTGACAACAAAAGCTCATAATATAAAGATCCAAACAATAGCTCAGCAACTGAAGCTCTAGCAAAAATAAAATATTAAACTATGGTCCCCCCCTCACGCCAACTGCAGCGGAAATTCATAAATACAGGTTACGCAACAACGACGACTCATGCACAAGACAAGTCTTATGCACGAGTCAAGTCTGACACTTCATATCGCATAGTTTATCTCAAAACATTTATAAACCTGCTGATGATAGAAAATCAGAGCAACTATATATATGTATATAATCGGTACTTACAACCCACAAGCTCACCGTTATATGCATTTTACTAAATAAAGCACATTGTTGACTGTATATAACATCAAAAGGAGGCTTTTCATATAACGCCTCTCAGCAAAGCGCCATAACCAAAAGTTTGGCTATTATGCAGCTACGCCAGATCTGAAAAATTTAAAAACAACGGGGTGAGATAGGGCTCAGTAAGAACATTTTCCACCAGAGTTCCTAGACAACTAACAAAATAACAATAATAATAATTCCCAGAAATAGTAAATTATAAGTTTTGCACCAAAAATTTAAAAAATTTGCAAGTATGGTCCAAACAACATACCATTGATATTTTTATGGAAGAATTTAACAGTTTATATTTCTTTATCATTTGCAAGCTAAATACATTGTAATATATTCCAAAATCAGGCCCCTTTTTAAAACAGGTAAATCCTAAGACAGAAATGGACTATTAAATTTGTGCAAAAACCAAAGGTTTGTTATTTTTTCTATTTCACAGTCAATTGTCAGAATATTAAATCTTGACGAGTCAATCGTGAATGTGAAAATCACCTCATAGGTCACACTAAGGCTACAAATTATAGTGAGGTAGCATGAGAATGCGTAAAATGCATCACATAACACATAACTCCCGGGAATCGAATACACCAATCTCTGCCATAGGTTACTGGCCAAATACAATTGGGCCAATTAGAGAAGGGTCAAATACAAAAGGGCCGAATACAGAAGGGCCAAATAATGGTGCATTCACCATATAGCAGGCAGAACACTCCATAGTGGACTTTCTGAGGATTTAAAAACATCGAGAATCACTTGTCATATTAGAAATACCTTGCTTATCAGAATTTACAAATATTTTTAAATGAAGTGGACGAGGGTAAAACTCATCATCCCAGTTAAAATAGTTTATCGATTTCACTTTTCTTTATTTTTATCGGATATTAAGTCACAGAAAATCTTTGAATCCATTAAACTGTCGAAACACGTTCAAAATATCTTTTTTCTTCAAAAGCTTTCAAATAAAGCAATATCTACAATTATATGAGATCGCGTAAAACCAAATTCACTTTTCATATTTTACATAAAATCAAATTGCCTTTTCATATATTGTACGAAACTAACATTGTATTATAGAAGAGACAACAACAGAAATAGATCAAATCATATTTAACTTTCATATACACGAAAAATAATTGACTATTTATTTTTCAAGCATAAGATCGTTCAAACTTAGTACTATGTACTCATGTAATTTTATATTGTAAAAATATTAGTGAGAAATGAACTCACCTCTAGTGGTCACGACTTCCTCAAAATATTACTCTCCTGAATATCAACCAGAACCTATAATATGAAGATATAAAGCTAATATTAATTCATGATAACATATATTATAGGTTACTCAATTTATAATCTAGAGTCAATAAATTCAAATATAATCAATAACAATTAAAATCTATAAATAGGGTATATATGAGCTTATTGCCAACTTCAACAATTTATCAAAATTTATAACTCTCATATACTAGCTTTTGGACCTTCTAATAATTTATGATAAGACAGGGGGTTGTAGGGAATAAATCAAGTCCAAAAGTTGTCTTTGATTCTTCAGATTTGACTTATTTATAAATAGAGAGAATGACAGGGATCTATATGTAAATATCCTTACACAACATGGTTTAAACAAATTTTTCTTTTAGTAACTGCCCGCTTCTTGCGTTTTCTTGGTGAGGTAGCGTCATCCTCAAGGTCAATTGTAATTGGCCTCTTCAAAGAATGAGTCTCACTTGAATGGGTACCAGGGGAAGTATGGATAAGTGGGTGGCCGTTGTTAAGTATATTATATTCATAAACGACATGGGTTGTTGAGCTATAAATGAGTAGTTCATATCATAAGAATTATAAGATGGATAAGTCGGTGGAGCAATGTATTGGGGCAGAGGGAATTGTTGTGTAGTGGGTGGTGGGGGAGCCGGGAAGTATGGATAAGTGGGTGTTGTTGGTGTTGTTGGTGTTCTAGGTGAAGTATTCTTAAACTTATCACTTTCATTAGAATCTGCCATGGCTGATTGTTACAAATGAAAACAGACAAATAACAAATTTCAAACCTCATGTTAGTACAATAATAGAGTACGAACATCAAAAAGTAGCATTCATAAAGCCCAATCATCATAGCTAAATCCGAAAAACTCAAATAACCCACAAGCATGAAAAACCAGTATGCAAACAAGCCAAGCACCTCATATAATCAAGGTTGCAAACAAGCAAAAAATAAAACAGAACCACAAACTGGCAAGTTGGATATATGCAAAAATAGCATTCATAATGATAATATACCCATTTATCCATGAGTATTGTTGTAATATCAACGAATACATAGAGGTAGTATACAATATATCAACGAGTACAATAATACATGGAAAATATAACTTAAATTATATCCCAATCTCGGTTGTGTCTCCACCGCGATATTTATCACAATAATCTTTCCACATTTTAATTGCAATTTGATCCCTCTTTGCTCTCCATTTATTTCTTGAATCTCTTTCCTCTCTTTGTGTCATAGTTTGAGTAAAGTCAACAACACCCTCTTCACCCTCATTTGCTATTTCATCTCCATCCTCTTCAATATGGTTGTCCTCATGCAACAACTCATCTCCCGGGTCTTCTATGATGATGTAGTTATGAAGTATAGTACATACAATAACTATATTAACTTGAGTTGGAAAAGGGTAATGTGGCTTCGCGGGTAGGATTTTGAAACGATTTTTTAATACTCCAAAGGTTGATTCAATTTTAGACCTTAGGGATAAGTGTCTTAAATTGAACAACTCTTGTCTATTATTGATTGGCCTACCATTGTGCTCATTTAGATGATACCGCACTCCTCGATATGGGGAGATAAAGTCATGCATAGTAGTGTAGCCCGCATCACACAAATAATAATTTCCTACAATTACCAAAAAGAAATTTAGTATATTTTTTAATTGTAATTAAATAGACATACTTTATTTGATTGATTTATTACCGTCGTAAACTCTCAATCCGCGAGGTTGTGGTCTAGATAACATGTCTTGCAAAACTCTATAATCATTTGTGGATCCCTCCCATCTAGCTAGAACATACGAAAATAACTTGTTGGGAGTGCATGCAGCTAGAACATTTTGAGTTACACCTTTACGACATCTAAAACGTGCAACAAGGCTAGCGGGAAGCATGACGTCGATATGGGTTCCATCTATCATGCCAATGTAATCCTATATGAATACATTAAACAATTATTAATAATAGAAAAGTAAAATTAACTGTTATATTATGAGTAGTTATATTATAACAATGATTACCTTAAAATAAGGATAGTATAATTGGTTAGTGGCAATCTATGGCGATACTTCACTTGGTGCTTGCTTCATGTACTGCCCCCTTAAATGACCAACGGCTTCCAAGCACTTGTTAAAGTATTTTGAAACGGTTTCCTCGGATCTTAGGAAATGTGACCTAACCATTCTATTATTTGTTTTATGACCTAATATATTAAGGAACATGAGCAATTGTTCTTCTACTTTAACACCCCGTGAATCTTTTAGTAGGCCGGGAACATGAGCAATTGTTCTTCTACTTTAACACCCCGTGAATCTTTTAGTAGGCCGGTATATCTCATTATGCTAACAAGATTATGAAATGCATACTTTAACACCCCGTGAATCTTTTAGTAGGCCGGTATATCTCATTATGCTAACAAGATTATGAAATGCATGTGGACTCATTCTAACATAAGTTGTACAACTCTCATTATAGCCATTAAACACACGACTTATGTGCCTAGCTCTATATTCTATCTTCTCTTTATTTTTCACCGTAGGTTGATAAGTGATTGATTTCCTTCTACTAAGTATCCTCATCAAACAAGTAAGCACACAAATCACCGCGAAGATAGTAGCATTAGAAACCATCCTCATTAACATCTTTTCATCAATGTCATCCATCTACATTGTTTTAAAAAGAAAATTTTTCGTATAAATACTATGCATCAATCTTAAACAAGTGCTCATATAGTAAATAGAAATCAACAATCCTCAAGGAGTTAAGCTAAATTAACCTTAATAAACACATAAAATAGATGAACTCAATCTTACAAATTCTAAAAAACTAAGAGGAAAATTATGAATGCAAAGTTCTAATATGCCGTTTTTAAAGTTTCTGCCATGAACTATGAAAAACATGTCTATAAACTAACTATATGAAAAGCATCTCTATAATGAATGTCATGAACTATTTTTAAAGTTTCTGGCTCCACGCATTTTCAAACTAAAGCACCAATGAAGCTTCATAGTTCAGAAACTATATAACCATAGTTTTATGTACAAGCATAGAAGATAACCAATGAAAACTACAAATGCTCTCAAAACTCATCATGGACACAATCCAAACCCATTAATCCAAATCACCCCAAGATCAAAATTTGAAGACTACCCAACCACCAAAATCATATTTTATCAAAAATAATTTGAGATTAATGAAACAAAAACCCTAACTCTAAATGATCTAAAAGTCCTAAAATCCAAATCCAAGCAATGGAACGAGAACAATTTTGTCCCCAAAGCTGCCACAAATTTCACAGACTAATAATTGTACCAAACCAATTTCACCAAACCTAAATCAATTTCACATATAACCCACAAATTAATTTTACAGAAACTCCAGAACATTTTCACCAAATGACAAATTTATAAAGAAACCCTAATTTACGAAGAAAGGGAACAAGATTTACCTGCCGAGGAGGAGTCGTAGTTCGGTCAGAGAACTATTCGGGCTGAGAGAAGTTCGGTTGAAACAATAGAATCCCCAAATCAATTTACCCCCAAAACGTTAGAGAGAGTTGAGGAGAGGCAGGGCGGTGGAGCTGAGAGTTGGGGACGCTGAGGAGGAGGCGGAGCCCACTGAGGCTGAGTGCGGAGAGGAGGGAGGGGGTGGCGTCGTAGACGCGGAGAGGAGGGAATGAGATGTAGGGTTTTCGCGGGGAAAATAAGACGGCGGGTAAAAGAGGAGGAAGACGAAAATGGGAGGGGGAAGCGGTGAGTGTAGGCTATATATAAGTTTTAAAAAAATGTATTCCTCAATTAATCTAATAGTTTTTTTCCTGGACAAATATAGCTTCGTTTAGGTTAGTGGATAGCTCATTCACGTGGTGGGAGAGACTTGTCAAATGAGAAGTACGTGAAGAATAAATATTTCGTCACATAGTTGGTGGGAAAGATTTAAAAACTCCTATAGCATAGATGGGTTGGTTGTATGACAACTTACATAAATAAATATCACATATTGAACTTGAACAATTCATTCCATCCACCTTAATCTACACTTTAAAAATTACTAATGCAAATCATGTATTTTGAGAATATATTACACATACGTGGTTTAAAAATTTCACGGTTTCCTAATAATATATAGGATAAAAGAGACCCGTTGATACTGCAGTTAAACTCTTCTCTTGTTGATTCATTCCATTCAACATGACCTAAATGTTGTAAGACATCTACAAATAAAAAGCTCATGATGTTCTAATACTTGTAACCTATATTTTAGATTGTTTCTTGGTTGCGTTATTAATTTTATAACTATTTTGACGCATTAGTAATTAGAACTAAATTATTCCCAATTTTATGTTTGTGAAGCATCCAAATTAAGCATTTATTCAAGTTAATTAATGACAAATAAAGCTTCCCCGTAGTTGGTTTCTCTACTCACATACAGTGACGTATATCCGTCCTATTGACCCACATATAATGCAATCGCGTATATATATTTATTAATTAAAGCACTGAATTTTGGCTATAAATTAAAATGGGGAGTTTCCTCACCCTAAATGTCAATAAAATTTGAATCTTTTGTTTTTTGCACTGTTTTTAATCATAGCGAGAGAGAGAGAGGGGGGGAAATGGCGAATGCTTTGCTTGATCTGTTTCTTTCGTTGCTTTTAATCGGTTCGAGTCCCTGGATGGAAAGAGAAATGGCGGGAGTTGTGATCGATGTCCACACTATTGAGTTGTGGGAGGGGCTGGTCGCGGTGCGCGACAATGTTCTGGTAACGGTCGATAACAAAACTCCAGTTTCTCAATTTTTTTTTTAAAATTAATTTTTATAGTTACCGTTGTTAGTTTAATTTTCATCAAATGCATGGATTGTATATACAAGAGGTATATAGATTTGGCGCATGAGTAAACTATATTGATTATGAAGATCGAAAAGGGTACCTCATGCATACTTATAATAACTGATTCGTTTATGATGTGTCTTTTCTTATCCGAGTTTTCTTTTCATATATGCATGCATATATAATTCCTACAAGGTGTACAAGTACGAGGTATTTATCTATGAGAATAAAAAAAAAAAATCTCTCTTTCTTTTACTTCCACGAGTTATACTTTTTAACAAATTGTTTAATTTATTATTAACTTTCCTTATTTTGAGAGAGATAGATTCAAATGACTAGCTAGCTAGCTAGCTAGGAGGTGTTGTTGCGATATTTTTGTTGGACGAGGTTAGAGTTCTTGTCGTGATAGGAGGTTGAGCCTGATGTCATTCGTGAGAAATGAGGGCTAGATATATAAATTTTTTTTTTTGGGGGGGAAATCTTGCATATATACATCATTGGAAATCAAGGGTAAGAGAGGCAAAGTTAGATCTGAGTACAAACCTTGAAGTCGTACACCATATTATGTATTCACGTACGTCAAATGTTAACGGCGATATATATATCCTCTTCAGGTGGTGGTCGAATTCGCTTCAACTTCCTGCGTACCATGCCGCGACATAGTTGAAGATTACGCCAAACTGGCAGCAAAGTACACCGACGCTCGTTTCATCAGGGCTGACACACGGCGGCTACCAGTAAGAGACCTTACACCATCATCAACCTTAGCAACCAACCCACATTTTAATTTCGAAGGGCGGGCATTTGATAAACACGCTCTGACATTACTGATTTACTTAATGAATTTTTATTTTTATTTTTATTTTTATTATTTTGGCAGGAGGTGGCTTCAAGACTGGGTATAAAAATCGAGCCTACCTTCGTCCTTTTCAGGAACGGTGCTCGGATCTACCAGCTCATTGGGGCTAACATGGAAGAACTGGACCGACAGATTCAACTGCACGAGTGATACATCGATGACATGCGCGTCGTCTTTGGCTATCTATATTTGGATGCTCTCATGATATATATGCATGTTTCCCAAAAAAATATCTGATAGTGGTAAGCGATAATCATGGAGGCTTTCAAAAAATCCAAGTATATATTGCGACGCTACTACTATATGGGTGTTTCCCTAATAAGTTGTGATGAAATAATTAAGTAATGTCATGAAGGCTTTTGTAAATGACTACTACGTACTAGCTCGACAAAGAATTACAATGAAAAAATTAAGAAAATTACAACTCTCAAGAAAATAACACAGAAATTGTTTATCAACTCCTGTTTTTGTGGGACTTTGCCTGTGCCGTGAGTGCTTTGGCTCGTGGACCACCGATTCACAGATCGTGAGGGTGTTTAGGGATCCTTCCTTCGTTTATCGAAGTAGGGATTTTAAAGCGAATATCTTATCGATGTAAGATATTCACTCTTCCAAAGATCAAGTCTGAGCTTAGATCTCTAGGAATCACCGAATGATACTTGTCAAAGGGTAAAAGTTCTCTCTTTCTTCCTCAAAATCACCAAAAGCTCAAGTCTCTTCTGCTCCAAAATGCTCTCTCTCTCTTTATTTCGTGTTTAGGGAGGTATTTATAGGGGTAGGAGTGCACAACAGTTGAAACGGGGGCGAAGTAACCGACCAGATGACTGTTCTTTGGCCGCGACAGTCGACATTGCCGCAGCTATTGGCGCGGCAGTGTGGACTGCCGCGGCCAAAGAGGCGGTTACCAGCACGTTCCATCGTGCTTAAAATCGTTCTCCCACGATCTTTAACCACCTTTTTCGTGGTTTAACCGCTTGTCCACATCAGCACACGTTTTATCTCTGATATGCCGCCACGTGAGCTTCAAATAATCATCATATAACTGCCTTGTAACCACCATAGCACCCCCTATAATAGCCGCTGCATCATATGCTGCCGCGTCTTAGCCGCGATACCATATGCTGCCGCGCCATGGCCGTGGCACCATGAGCTGCCGCGCCTTAGCTGCGGCACCAAGTGCTGTCTATTGGTGTGTACATGTTATCTCACTTCCTTTGAACGATTCCCTCTGATTAAGAGAATGGTGTTTATCATCTTCTCTTTGCCTTAAGTGGTATTTGGATGTCTGTAAGTATTTTTTGACGCCTACAGATACCCCCTCTAAAGTATCTCAGACTCATCATTTTTTGGAGAGGAGTCTGGGACACTTTGGATATGATAAGTTTTCCTTGCAATTTCTTCAATACTTCGTTGAGGAAGTTGTGTAACATAGTCTATGGATGGCTTTAATTCTTGACTTCTTCATCTTTTAGCCTATTCAGTGCTTTGTAGAATAGCTAAAATTCCTCCGGTGCTGCGTTTATCGCGTGGCCGTTGTCGAAGTCTTGAATTTGAACTGCCGTCGAAGAATGGAGAAATAGTTTATACTCATATGCTCTATTGGAGTGTTCGGGAAATAGTTTAACCTCATATACCCGTTGGGAGGTTCAAGGAGATGCAATTTATACTCATATACTCATCGGAGTATTCAGGTATGTATTCCAAATACAACAGGAGATGTATATGTTTAAACACCCAAGGGATCGTTGTGTATGTTGGATGCTCCTGCGCAGTAGTGTGGACTATGAAAATATCCACAGCCGCGACAGCATATACTGCCGCGCTTGAGCGCTGTAGCATGGACTGTCGCGCTCGAGCGCGACAGTATAGACTGCCGCGCACCGCTTCGGCCAGACGGGCTTATAAGTTTGCTGTTGGGTCTTCTCGGGTCATTTTTACCCGCTTCTTTGAGTTCGAAACTCTTCAAATCTCCCATATAAAGCGACCTTTGGCTCTTCTCCTTTTCACATCTTCTTATTTGGGCGATTCCTCCTTAAACGAGATCTAGGGTTTTTGGGTTTTTCTTGCTCTCGAGCTTTTACTTCAATCCAACTGGATTTTATCTCACCTCTGGTAAAAACCGCACCTATATGTCATATTTTAGGGTTCGATTTTGGTTTTTTGTTTGAGATTTCTCATAAAACCCTAACTTCTTTTGCTTTTCAGGTTGATTTCACTATGTCTCCCAAGAAAGCTCGTGCTCCCAAGGGTAAATCTGCAGTCCCCGCATCTGAGGAGACGGAGGCCGCTGCCACTTCGTTTGAAGGTGACTTTTCAACGTTTCCCCCTTTCAAAATTATTGTTTTTGTCCATATTACCTCGCTTGCCCCCTTTGAGGGACATCCGGGAAGAGTTGACATCCTCCATCGAGAGGATTGATACTACAAAATACATATCTTGTTTGATCAAGATAAGTACCACGGCCAAAATACGAACTTGGCTCAAACTCTTGGTTTTTTGAAACCAAGGGTTGTTGCTCAGTTACCGCGGCAGATCGTACTGCCGCGCCTGAGCGCGGTAGTGTATGCTGCCGCGGTAACGCACGGCAACAACTACTGCCGCGGCTACTAAGTGTGGGGGTTTTGCTTTATTTTAGCCTTTTTTGTTCAACTGTTTTTTCCAACTTTTCTCTGCAGTTCCTTTTCCCTCTGTGGTCTTTTCTGACAGAGAAGACCCAGGCCAGAGTGGTACTCTTCACGCCTCCTTCAACGGCGACTTTCTAGTTAGAGAGGCCTGCCAGTTTAGTGAAGGTTGTGATGATAGTGTTCCTAAGCTAGTTCGTGAAGGAGGTCGTCGCACCCTACGAGCATTGCTGACTGACTCGCCTTTAACTCCAATTCGCGATTCCACCGAACCGTTGAAGAAGCCTGCTTACTTGTTCGGGGATTCGATTGAAGACCCAGATAATCTTTGCCGTGGTCCTGAAATTTAGTTGAATCAGCACGAAGGTGATTTTCTATTTCTTCCCCCGTTCCCTCAATAATGTTCAATTCTGCAGTTACGGAATTTGGCCGTTTCGAGGAAGATGTCATGGCATTTGACAGATGATCACGAACGCATTCATTGCGGGTTCGTTGGTAAAGATGTCAGCGCTCCTGGCTCCAGTGGTAGGCATACTATTCGTGGCCTTCACCCGGGGATACTTGGACCAGATAGTGGGCCTCAAAATGAGCTGATGATAAGGGCCAACACGGTAAAGAATAGGCTCGCTCGGGTTGGCAGAGAATTCCCTATTCCAAGATTCAGATGTTACAGATGGGTTCATTCTCTTCCAGACAAATGGTGGGCTAGGATGACCAACTACGTACTCAATCGTTGGGATCGGGAGTTAAGAAACTTGTGGTTATTGGGGTTATACGCTCCAATCCGAGCCAGCATGCATGGTCTTCCCATAAGTGTAGATCACTTTCTCGCTTGTTCGAGTCTTATAATACGGAGACCAATACATTTTTTACCAAGTATGGGGAGTTAGGGCTTCCGCTCCACGAGCTTATAATACGGAGACCAATACATTTTTTACCAAGTATGGGGAGTTAGGGCTTCCGCTCCACGAGATGATGAAAGTATCTACCAAGTATGGGGAGTTAGGGCTTCCGCTCCACGAGATGATGAAAGTATCTGGATTGCCATTGGGGAATATTCCTTATCAAGAATTTTTCCCCAATAACCGTCAGCTTATGAAGATGAAGAAGGCTGGTTCTCTTGCTTATGACATTCTCTGGGAGTTAACTTGTCATTACCAGATAGCGATAGCCAAGATCGAGGTAAAGAGTAAGAAGGTCGCTCGAGTCAGTCTAAAACAGTTCGCCGACTACTTGTTCTAGAATCTCTAGAGCCCGACCGGTGAAGCAGTCTGCGAATCACCTGTTCTGACCCCTTCTGACGTTAATAGGGTGATTATGAAGATTAACGCCCAGTCTTATAGAACTGAATCATCTGAAGGTGGCTTTCTTAAAGGCACAAAATTCAGTACTTTCTTGTGGCAATCCACGAAAGGAATGAAGCCTGCAACTCTCCTTTCAGGTTACTTGGCTATATGGCTAAAGAAATGTGTAGTGCCGCATTAATCTTCTGAGGCGCTTCCTTTTGAGGTCCTTTTTCCCGCCATGCAACTATCCGTTGGAGCTAGGTTATCTTTACTCTCCGCCATGATTGCCGACCTCCACAGCGGTTTGCGTAACCTGGCTAACACCTTTACCAAAGTGGATGTCAAGCCTTCGACTAAGATTCCGTTGTCGAGCGTTGAATTACCATACACGTATTTAATGGCGTAGCTGGTCCTCCATCGAACGGACATGATGTCATCACCTGATGTGTCCGATCCAGAAATTCCTTTGCTGCAGCTCTTGGAAGGATGTAAGTGGCTGAATCCTTCTCGACAATGGCCTAACAGGGTGAGGTAGTTTAAGAATGCCAAGTGCTGGGAATTTTATAAGTGTTTCCCTCAGTTTTATGGTGCATATAATAACACACTCATTGATGAAGAGATGCCTGGGACCAACAGGACCTCCCTCAACATGGGTAGTTTCCACTGGCTTATGAACATCCGACCAGGTTACAATATTTTCCTGTCGAGGAACCTATGCAGGATCGAGCCTTATTTTCCTTGCCGGTTTGCGTGACAATTCGGCTACGATCAATTATATGTCGGGAATCCCAATAAATGGTTGATAACCTACAGAGGTCTTATCGATGGAGTGCGAGCCTGGTTCTGGAATGTTGCTGGTTGTACTGAAGCTCAATTTAGCTTGCCTATCGCTGAGCCTGATCTCCACATGACATTTGTTTATTGTCGGTGGATTTTAGCCGCTAACACTCCTGTTACGAAGAAGAAGATTTCTGAACTAGAATCCGAGGCTGTGGTTCGGAGAATTGTATCTAAAAAGGAAAGGAGCCCGCTACGTCTTCCCGCAAAAGAAAACAAGCAGCTGATTCCGAAGAGAGTGACGACTTCGAAACCTCCAGCGAGGAAGATGAAACCAAAGATGAAACAGGGGCTGATGTTCCTCTTTCTCCCGTGGCTCACAGGACTCGTCGAGCTTCTTCACCCTAATCACCCGGTGCTCCTTCTAAGGGTATTCGAATGAGAGAGAAGAATATTCTCTTATCGT